ATAGTACGGAACCGAACGGAACCGAACCGACCCGAACCGAACCGAACGGAACCGAACCCGAACGGTTCCATAATTATATTTGGACCCGACGGGTCCATTTATTAAATACCCGAAAGTTTTGGGTCGGTTCGGGTATCTTCAGAACCGAACCGAACCGACCCACGGACAGCCTTGATATATATTCCCCCCCCGCCCCCCCTTAACCGTGGGTATCCGAGCTAACTTGCGTGCACCTCGACTAATTCCAGAGGACCTTGAAGTTTAAGGTCGGATACTCACCTTAGTGGCCAAAAGAGGACTCGAACTGTGTATCATGAATATAGATAAAATAAATATGTAATCGTTGTAGAGTTTTAAACTAAATTTGAATAATTGAACATTGGGTTTGGGTTGTGAATGAAGTTGGGCTAAAATTAAATTTTGGGTTGGACTAAATTTTTATTCTTTTTTATTTTCACCATGAATTTGGGCTAAATTTTCCATTTTTTTTACAAGCCAATTACTTCTGGGCTGGGGCAAGGCCCAGCCCCCCTCTCCATCTGCCTCTGGTGACTACTCTAGCATCAAAGATACATTAATAAAAAAATATAAAAGACAATGAAAATAGAAGCCATCGAGGCAATGTTACAGTACTCAATGTAAAGGCAGATCAAGGCGAGGTAACTGACATGTGTTTTGAATCCCACTAGTAGACAAGCTACAGCTCACTATAATTGCGCCAAACTGCACGGAATTCCTCACGGAATGTGTTCAGACGAGCTTTCAAGTTAGGTGTCCTAAAGCTTGCATGAATGAGGGTGACTGCAAGAGAGAGAGAAAGAGTTTGAGATGAATCTACACCATGGAAAAAACTTACAAAGTTCGAATCATAAAATTACCAAGGAGGCCAATAGCAAATGCCCATAAGACACTGAGAAGTCCACAAGAGACAAACCAGAGAATGAAACTCACTGCAGAAAGAACGAATAATAAAGCCATAAGCTTTCACTATAGAAACTACACTCACGCAAGTCATAAATGAGAAATCAATGATGCTGAAATGGCTGAAAGTCTTGCCCTACCTGCTGAAGATAGCAAGACAAATACCCAACGAGGCCGTCCACAAATATGCACAGTTCTTTTGACAGATGGGCGCCCTCGAATAACAGGCCTAAAATAAATTAGATATTCAAGTCAGTAGCAGCATTGAACGGTTTGCAATTCCAGATCTACAAATGTGCTTACATAAGGGGAGGCCTCATTTTGGCAGCAAAATGTGGAGAAAACTGCCTGACGATTCTTGTGACCTTTTCACTGAAAGTACCTGCAAAACTGTATAATAAATTGAGCAATATGAAAAGGATGACAAGAACAACAGTCAAGAAGTTTATGCAGTTCAGTCAACTGTCAACAGCAAACAACTAAATTGCAATATTCTAATAGCAATAATCAATGAAATTTCAAACTAAACCACATATGCATGTTGACATTGCTCACTGGTAAAAAGTAACATACCTATCATTCAGAAAAGCTATGCTTAGAGCTGTCAACAGGTCAGCAACAATAGAAAGTGGCTTCCTGATAAATCCCAACCCTGAAACTCAATGTGCACATGTATACAGTTTAGATACATGCATAGACACAGGAGTGGGAGTGCACACGTGTCACATAAAACTAGTAATGGTCATGATCTTTAGCTTGCTTACCAAGAATAAACACAATCATTATGAAATAATTGGTCCTATAGCTGCCAAAAGGAAAATAAAAATACAAATCAGCAAAGTAAATATAGTTCCATTTTCCCATTAGACAACTCTAATAACTTTACATTAGCCAAAAAATAAAATAAAAGAACCAACTGCATAATTTTAAGAATTTGTTTCTAAACAAAACTTAACGAGAACCCAAAAAAAAAAAAAAAAAAAAAAAAAAAGAAGCACGCTTAGAAATTCCTCTCTTGTATTTCATTTCTCTCCCATTCATTATACAGCTAGCGGGATGTCAAATTAACAATCAAAGAAATAATATATGTATCGAGATGTGCAGAGGAGGAGGAGGAGGAGGAGGAGGAGTAGGAGTAGGAAGATCTTACTAGTAGAAATTACACTTGAGGCGGCTGTTCCATTTGGAGTAGGAACGGGGGATGGTAAATCGTGAAAAGAATTCGGCGACCGGCCGCGGCGGAGATGACCAGTCCACTTCTCGCAATGCCTCAATTAGATCCTCCGTTGTTACATTAGTCCAATCCATTTACTACGCAATCTTAATTCAATCGGTTGAGAAAACCCCTATGTGCAAGTTCTTCTATAGAAAAAGGGGAAGAAATTGAATGGAAGAAATGGGCAACGTAACGGAGATAGATTGATGGGCGACCCGTTATAATGAGTCGTTAGAAACTCCGTTTTGATTTTGGTTGTTTTTAACGGGAAAGAGAGAACTCCGTCTCAGATAAACGGAATTATAAGACGCTTGCATTTTACAGGCTAAAAGGCGTGTCTGAGAGCTTTTAATTCGACTATGCTAGACTGTGATTAATAGTGTTAAAATAATAAATATATTATAATTATATTTTATTTATTTTTATCAAAATTATTATAAATATTATTTTATCAAAACAAAATATGGACTAAGCCCCTGTTTGATAAAAATTATAATCTAAATCTAAATCTAAATTTTTATCAAAGACAAAATAAATAATTAATCTTAATCACGTATTTTATAGATCTCATAATTTTTCAATTACATATTTAATCAATTTTTATTTAAATTTACTAAAAATTTGATTTTAATCTTCATTAAAAAAAGGTTAAATAACATTAATATAATTCACTAGAAGTAATAGATTAAATTTATTTTTGTTCTTTTTTAAGTCTTTTTAATTTTTGTTTTGATTTGTTTTAAAATGAAAAAAATTGGGAATTTGTTAAATAATTAATACAGTTAATCTAAGAGATTTTACCTTATATCAAGCCCATGTTTGTCTTTTATTTTTTTAAAACTCTTTATTCTATATATTCATTTTCAACAACATATTCACACGATAAAATATTCACACGTAAAACCCAATTTTTTTCCCTATTCAATTTCTACACTATGGGGGTGAGGAGGTTGCCAAATTTGTTTGCGGAAAAATGGAAGAAAGGGTGCTTGATGGGATTATTGATGTGTTATTGAACGGGAGCGAGAAGAAGAAATGATGAATTTGAGACGAGTGATTTATGAGAGTTTTGGAATGGATAAATAGAATAATAAAGTTTTGGGGAAGAAGATGAAGAGTGGTGGGGTGAAAAATAAAGTTTTAGATGTTTGGAATTGTGTATGAGACATAAAAAATTGGGTATAATTTGTAATAGAGTAAAAAGTTTAAATACTGAAATTGTAATTATTCATTTTTAATTTTGACATTTTTTTACTGATTTTAACTGCAAATTCGACGAATCTTAAAGGTAAGGGATTTTTCGAACAAAAAGATTTCAAACATCGAGGGTTTTCTGCGATTTTCAATATATATGAGGTATATCACAAATAGAAACGTTTCTAAGGGAATTTTCTTCCATTAATCCTTAGTTCTTTCATGGTGAGAACTTTAGTATCATGACTAACGAGTGATCATAAAATTTGCCACTGCAAATTTATGAGTCAAATTTCTTTCGTAAATATCTTTATTCATTTAATTTGATTCGAAATGATGCTTATCTTTTCCATATTTGGTACAAAGCTAACACATTATGCATTTAAGGACCGTAAGATCATGTCCCTGTTTGTTACCGATTAAAATATAGATTTTCATCTAAGTAAAATTCAACAAACAATTTTAACCACATATTTCGTGAGTCCCACATTTCAACAACACATTTTATCAACTTTTATCAAAATTTACTAAAAATTCAGTTTTAATCTCCACCAAACGGGGGCTATGAATTGATAAGAAAAGTCGCCTGAAGTAATGGATGAACTTTTATTTTCATCTTGCATTTCTTTGATATTTATAACGTTATTTGTGCAATTATTTCTATGTAGAGGAAGTGACAACGGTCTTTAGGTAAAAATCTTATTCAGGTTATATGTTATGTATGTATCTACTAATAGACATATTAGAAAATTTGCCACGTGAACAAAGTAATCCATTTTTAGAGAAGGAACCATGAAGAGCGACGAAAATGAAATGTAGTTAGATGGAATATGGAGGAGTTAAATGTCAAGATTAAAAACATATAGTTAAAAGCGCAAAAAGAGTCAGGTTCTGGGACCGTTCGTGCAATTTTTCACTCGATCGAAACCAAGACCTATAAAGAAGAAACAAAAAAACGAAGCGGAAGCAAAAGCCAACCTTGCAAACTTCTTCGACATTTACTTCTCCTTCTCCTTCTTACTGATTTCAGCTAAATAATTGAAATTATAATGGCTCAATTGACGGGTAGCAGTGGCGGGAGGTATTGTACGGTGGGGGGATTATATGTTGGAGAAGCAGATAGGAGCCGGTTCGTTCTCCACAGTATGGCATGCGCGCCATCGCGCCAATGGCACCGAAGTGGCAATTAAGGAGATCTTTACTTCCAGGTTGAATTACAAACTCCGAGAGAGCCTCCAGTCCGAGATTTTTATCCTCAAGAAAATCAATCACACTAACATCATTCGCTTGCACGATATGATCGAAGTCTATTCCATTACCTTTTTTTTACTGTCTTTCCATTTAATGAGAATTTGTTATTTGTATTTTATTTGGAATGAGATTTGGCAGTTCATGGTTGTGAGTATGTATGCCAGTGGTTGTAGTTTTTTAAGTACAATGTGGTGTAGTACTGTGGTTTTTTGGGATATTATGACTACAAAGTAGAACTGAATAGTTTGCCTCAATAAGAATGTGAGAATTTGTGATCATTAATTTGGGTATCCTTACAGAATTTTTGGTTCAAGTTTGTTCTCTTATTTAAATTTGATTGGAATTAGAGTTGGCAGTTGGCAATTTCAGGGCATGGTCATGATTGTAAATCGTGTCTTTTCTCAATTGGTCAGGCGCTGGGTTTGTTCCCAATGGTTACCAGTTCGAATCTCCTCATGCCACTGAAGTGAATAGGTGCCCGTAAATCTCAGGGCATCGTGGGATTAGTCCAGGTGCGCAAGCTGCCCGGACATCCACGGTTATAAAAAAAAAAATTGTGTCTTTTAAGATTCTTTTTCTTTATGATCACTTAATATGGTTTGGTTATGTTATTCCTTTTGGCCTTTTGAGAATTGTACCATTTGCAATGTTATTTTATCTTGTTCATGAATTTTATAGGACAGATGCAACGGATTGTGATGTAGGCATCTTTTTTTTGTCGCCTTTAGTTTAACTAAAATGTTGCACGAATTGATTCCAAAGTGCTTATTAGGACAGTTGCATTCTTTTTACAATTCTTATTTTGTTAAATATTCATTTTGCTGTTTATTTATTACAATTTAAGCCCCTCTTTGGTAGAGATTCTTTGAGAATAGGTTTTGTGAAAATTGATTTTTTTGGAGAATGTATGGTTAAAAAACAGGAAATGTTATGAGTCCACGTGAAATTATTTTATTGGGAGTTTGTGTGGTTGAAAATGAGTTCGGAGAAAAATAAAGTTTATAAAACGGGGGCCAAATGGTAAATATTTTTTTGTGGAAACAATAATCACTATGCAAATGTATTAGGAACAAGGAAAAATGTACATTGTTTTGGAGTACCGCAAAGGGGGTGACCTTTCCATGTATATTAACCAACATCATGGTCGAATCCCAGAAGCAATTGCAAAACACTTTATGCAGCAGCTAGGTATCTCATTTTTTTTTTTTATTTCCCACTACTTGGTTTGTGGTTCACTCTAGGATACAATTCTCATTGTGCTTACTTATATATGCTACATGCTACAGTGGAGGGTCTGAAAATTCTTCGTGAAAACAACCTTATACATCGAGATCTAAAGCCCCAGGTATGCATTGAAATCCATTCTAACATTTTTATTGTTCACTTAATCCTGTGATTGTTTAATAAAAGTAAACCCTGGTATTTCAATCCACAACTTTATATAGATATCTTTAGATTGAGGGATAAAGACGTCTTTAGAAAAAAGAACAATGATGTAATGAAAATTCAGGTCCTTCTCTGAATGTACTTATTCGCTGGTTCTTCCTACCTTTTGCCATGAAAGTGTACACTCTCGGGTAAAGTTCTGACATCTAAGTTTATCTACCCATCGTCTCTTCCTCCATCATGTCTATAATAGGAAATGTTATAGTGCATTTAATCTATGTAAATATTGCTTTTTTTTTTTTTTCACTCCACTTTGGATGATATGAACCTATTATCAACTTCAATGACGTAGAAAATTCCTCAATGAATTTGAATTATAAAAAAAAAAAATCCATTTAGTAATCAATGCTAGAAGTATTTCTTTTTCTCAGAGGTATATTACTAATAAAGTTATAGGCTACCAATATTGAGGTATGGTGCTTCCAGGTTAAGCCCTTCATGTCAGTAAGATTCATGAAGAAGTACTTTGCTTCTCGACAGTGTCTTCCCCTTAAGTTGACGTTAAATTCTGTAGCGTAGCTGAACTTTTATCTGTAGAGATCTCTTTTTTCTTCTTTATTCTTCACAGATCTTTGCTCTTTAACAATAAATTCCATGGAATTGCTTTATTTTATATGTAAGATGGAGCCGTGGAATAAGTTGGATTGTCATGCAATAGCAGTAAAAGAACAATTGAATTTGTGTAATGAACTAATGTGCTTTTTCTGCATATCTGTGTTTTATTAACCATTTTAATTCTTATGAGTGAAAGCTCCGTGCGTTTTCTTTTCTTGATGTGCCATACTTTTGGAAGGAATGACGTCAAGTTTTACTTTTAACACCTCGAACAGAATCTCCTCCTGTACACTAATGACAACAACTCTGTTTTGAAGATTGCTGATTTTGGCTTTGCAAGGTAGAGATATAGCCTTCGACATAATTGTTTCCTGGCTTGTCATCCTTACCCCTGTGATTATAGTAGACAGTAGGCACATCAAATTATACTGTAACATTCTCTCATTTTGTATTTCATTATTTCGGTTGACTCATCTTTTTTGTATGGAATATATTCAAGTTCATGATAATGATTTTGAAGTGTCAGTATATAAGAACTCATGGATAATCTTCTCTACTTACCTGAAAAGTATGGTGCTCTTAGGCTTGGCCTTAGCTGGAATTGTGATCTTGAATAATGCATAAATCACGATTGTGGCAGGATAGAGGCCACTTTATGATTTAGGTAAAACCATTGTAGTATGATAGGAGGCTTCTTAATATTGTGATAGTTCAATTCTTTTGTTTAGGAGATTTTCTTGATTATTTCTTTTCTATGAGTTTTAATTTCAGAATTACTTCCATTAAGCGTTCATATTGTATAATTGCTCCCACTCTTCCCTTTTGGTTGTTTAACATGCATGCTGGTACATTCCCTCCTATCCCCGATTATATTTTATGTACTTAAATAATTAGTGGTTAATTTATTGGTAACCACTAATGTATGCACTCACTTTGGTATGAATTAAGATACATTGGCTTGATTATTAGCATAAAGATGAAGTTCCAGTTCATCAGTTCCTTTTCCTTTTGCCAGATCTCTACAACCTAAAGGCCTTGCAGAAACCTTATGCGGTTCACCACTCTATATGGCTCCTGAGATTATGCAACTGCAAAAGTATGACGCAAAGGTGACATTCATCTTTTAGATATGCAGCAGCCATCCATCATCTTATTTTGTATTAATTCTACGCTAAAAATGCAGGCAGATCTCTGGAGTGTTGGTGCCATTCTATTTCAGCTTGTCACCGGGAAAACCCCATATAAGGGGAACAATCAGATACAAGTTTGTCTATTTTAATCTTTTCATGTAACTATAATCGTTAACTTAGTGTTTCATATGACACTGTTTTGGTGAAAATTCAATCACAAATCCAATCCTTAAATGCATTTTCCAGCTGCTCCAGAACATTATAAAATCAACTGAGTTGCAATTCCCACCTGATGTGAAGAATTTGAATCCTCACTGTATCGACTTGTGTAGGAAATTGCTACGCTGCAATCCAGGTACTCAACACATTTAACTAATGAGTTATGAGTATATTAATTTAACAAATGATTTTATGACATTCCCAATGGGATTGAAATGAATATAATTTATACTTCAACTAAATTAAGTCAAAAAAAAAAAAAAATTGTTATTGTTTTATTTACTTTAGAGATAACTCCAAAAAATAGCATGGATGATTCGTAATTATTTTGCCATAATTATTTACTCTAGAGATAACTCCAGTAGATGTAGCAACTCCTAAAAGGCATAATTTGTTCTCGTTGTGTACTCTAGAGATAACCCCAAAAATAGTTATGCTTCAATTGTTGATGACATTGTTGCATACATAATTTGTATGGAAGAACATGGTGCTACATGCATGCTACAGGAACCTGTAGCCCAAATCCAGTGTTATTTCGTGCCTTGAACTCTTATGTTACTCAACGAGATAGCAAGGTTTTGAGTATTGTGTAGTCTACTATTTATTTTAGCTTGAATAAATTTGGTCTGTTCGCAGTCTACTTCAAAACGAGGTTATTCTACGAAAGTGTCATTTAAAGACTTTGATTAATCAATGTTCCTTGTAAGTAACCATTTGTGCTGCATGGCTTACAACTAGCATTTTATTGCAACATTTATTAGCAATTTTGGCTCACAAGTTTCAAGATATATCAAGCATCTGCGAATATTATGATAGATTTTGAATTTAAAAAACTCTCATATAGTATTTGTTGATTTTATCTAAATGACTGTCCTAATTACTTTTTGATACCTTTTGATGCACAGTGGAGCGATTGACATTCGAAGAATTTTTCAACCATCCATATCTTTCTATGAGGCAGTCTGATGAATCATTCAGGTAAATGGGGTCTTAAAATCCAAGTTTTTGTTATCTTGAGTTCACAAGAATATTTTTGTGCTGGTTGAAAAGAGAATTGTTTGCATAGGTAGGAAGAAGCAATCAAAGCAATCAAAGAGTAATATATGTTTTCCCTCTTTCTGAAAGGAACACTGAAGAAAGTTCTCATCGAGAAGATAGCTTTCCCTTCTGTATTCCAGTGGGCCTGACAAGAGTCTATCTTCTGTAAGGAGTTCCACTGTGAGATGCACCTATGGATTTTCTCTCGACTCAAAACCTGACAGGAGGGAATATTCTGATCTCTCTAACAAAATGGATCTTTGTTCTGAGTACGGTAATGGCCCGTGTAAACCAGGAACTATTGGATCTGGTCTTGACTGCTGCCTATTTTCAGAAGCAAACCTGAAAGAATCTTTGAAAACCACAGACCCTAGATCAGTAAATTATAACTTAAAAGGTGCTTTTATCAGTGTTCCTTTCTCATTTTCACTATACATTTCCTATATTTACTGTTGGTCTTGCTTAAATATATTCCTTTCATCTTGTTATTTGGACCTACTCGATAGTTGTGGATTTGGTGGAGTCAGATCAAGATTATGTCCTCGTGTCCGGCCCCACAATGGAGTCATCTTCAGTACGTGCTTCTAAGACAAGTTATTTGGCTTCTAAATCTGGTAATCCGCCACTTTAATCTGAGCATATGAACTCCACACCAAATGCTTCATTGTCAATAATTGGTGCAGCAACTGATATAGTGGATCACATTGAATTAGAAAGTCACAGCTCTGCTCCTGGGACTTTACAGGGATCAATCAATATAGTAAACACTTTAGAACTGTCATCTACTGATTGCATGACAAGGATCAAGTCATTGCAGAGTTGTGCATCTGCCATAACTGAATTAGTAACCGAAAAGGTATGTATCGCACTTTCTGAGATGTAAATGTAAATTTGATTCTTCTTCTTCTTTTTTTTTTTTTTTTATTTAGCAAAAATATGGCCATCTCTCGCACCGTGATTTTGGAGCTTGAAACTTGCGTTCCCACTATGAAGCTTTAGTATTTGGTGTTGATGTTCTAATTCATCTATTAAGCATTTGGCCTCAGAATTTCTTATATTTACATGCCTGTATAAATATTCTTATCCCGCTTCAGTGGATCTCTTGTAGATGCAGCGCTGCTTTGAGTGTTGCCATAGCTCTGCTTTCTCTTATTTTTGATATTTGACCATGTCATTATTTTCATTTTTAATTCCTGGTAATTTTATTCTTGCGAAGGCCTTGCGAAGCTCTGCAAATTTAACTGCTTATGTTATTAACGTGATGAGCTAGTGATGTCGCTGTTTTTTGTTAGGTTGAAGCAGGAAAATATCTAGATGCATTCTCAATTCAGCTTATTGTTCTTGCCATATGGAAGCAAGCATTGCATATTTGTCACGCTCAAGCAGCGTCAGCTGTTGAACGAAGTCTGGCACAAGAGACCACAAAATTGAGGATAATCTCGAAGGTGCAGCATAATCCTGTTGTCCAAGAGTCTCGTGACACTGCTAACACCAAGGGGCTGGTGGAGATCTGTTCTCAAATTGAGAGAGCATTTCTTTATGAAGTGGGAAGTGCCGAGGAACTTGCCAAGGTAGTGGTCACTGGTATGGATTTGATTTCTTTATTTTTTATTTGCGATGGTTGTGAAGGCATTTATGCCAGTTTTGTTGTCTTGATTAGGAGAATTTGAGATGCCTGATCCAATGGAATTGATATACCGATTTGCCCTAGCTTTCGGCAGACATGCGGCTGTAAGTATCTATTTCTTCGGTGCTAGCAATTCCAGTGCTTGTTTGGCTAAGCTTTTAAGTGCTTATAAGAAGTGGATTTCGAGGATTTTGTGGTTAAAAAATAGATAAAAGTTGTAGGTCTCACAGCTTAAAAATTATCTTTGCCATACTTGCTCTTTGATTGAACTTTATGTGAGACAGAAATGAAGTAAGCTACTGAAAACTTGAAACGAGCTTTTGAAGCTTGGCCAAACATGGCAGTAAATTGAATTCCATAACGAAATGACTATATTTTTGTAAGTACACTGGCGTAGAGTGACTAAAATAGGTTTTGGAGTGATTAGAATGTCATCTCTTCTGGCTGCCAATGAAGTGGTCGTCAATCCAAAGCGGACTTTGGGGTCTAAACCTAGACCACTGCAAAATTCAGATGTGCATGATCACAATTATGGCAATAAACCCATATAAATATTTCATTTTCCATTGTTCATTTTATGTTATAAATTTGATCAACTTCTAATAAATTTAGTAGATGAAAATGATGAATCCACGCTACAACGAGGTAAAAAAATTCTCAGTAATTATTGTTGTATTGCATCACTTTTGTCATTCTTCAATTTTGTTCTTGATTATTAATTTTACTTTTCTACCTTGGAGACTTTGTTTCATGCAACAATTTCTTGACTTCAATTATACAAGAGTTAAAAATTATTTAAATGTAGGTTACTGAAATTTTGATTTGGGGAATGTCAAAACCTATATACAATTTCTAAAATTGTTTAATTGTGCTGTGCATGGGATTGCAGGTTGACGAGTATATGGGCGATACAGAAGTTGCCGTAACTTACTATTCAAAAGCAATTCGGCTGTTGACATTTCTTCTGGTGGAAGCACCATCCCTCGTTCTAAATCCCCCATTTTCTCTCAAAAGCTCAGACCGGAATAGAATTCAGAATTACACTGATGTCTTTAATAAGAGGCAACGCATTTCAGAATCTCGAATAATGGCCGTCTTCAAGTCTGAGGATCAGCCAACCCCACCATGAAAACCAGTGCAGAGCAACTGGGAATGACAATCATGCTTTACTCTGTAAATATTTTTATATACAGCAATTCTTTATTCTTTCGGTCGCCTTGCCCATTGGGATGAAAGACTGTTTTGTAAATAATCATATTTAATTCAAAGAACGTTCAAGGTACTCAATTTAATAGCAGGTTCTGTTGTTTGACGAGTTTTGTTGCTTTTGAGTTTAAATCAGTATCATAGCCCTTGTTTAGGTTGGATTAAAATTAGATTTTGATAAAAGCTAATGAAATGAGCGATTGGAAAGTCAATAAAAATTATGGATCTCATGAAATATGTTAAAAATGTGCTCGAGGAAAAATGAGGGTCGAATAGGGGCTTAACGAAACTAGAGGGCACAATCCTTACTCAAGCGCAACAATGATTTGGTGGAAATCTAACTGTCTTGTGAGATAAGCCTTGTATGCCGTTTAGGTTGCATATATAGAGTCGGCATGTTTGATACGTTAGATTGAATATGCTTAATGCAAAGAGACATGTGAGATGCTTGTTTATTATTGTCCAAACAATTTTGCGTACCAAATATGCTCTTAGGTTTTATACAGAATTGTTGTATGAATTTTGTCTCCGTGTTTTCGGGTATCTTCCCCCAGGTTTTGCATCGAATTTTGATTGATTATAATGACTTATCCTATGGACCTTAGAATCTCGTAGATACGTATAAATATATGCAAAGTTAGTCAAACTCATTGGATCACCAACCATTGCCAAACGTTTTACCTTCTTCAACCATATTGGGAAGCGTTTGCAGCAATCTGGCTGGTAGGTCTACCCTCCTCTTCCAAACTCCAAACCTTCTCCCTTCAAATCAATCCCCTCCCCCCACCACCCAATCCACAATTTCATACACTTGGAGCTAGAAACAATGGCCTTATGCTTTCAACCTCCAAGACCAAGCCTGGAAGAAGATTCAGTTGTACTCTTCTCGACGTCCGGCTCGCCTGAAGAGTCCACCAGTCTGTCCTCTTCCTCACACCACTCCCCATTACAAAATCACCAATCCAAATCTGTCAACAAATTATGTATAACCAATCTTTCCTACACTATACACCGAAATTCGTCAATATCCACCATGATTTTCCGTGGAAGGAAGAGGGATAAGCCGATCAACATTCTGAAATCGGTCTCTTTCACAGCAAGAAGTTCTGAGATTCTAGCTGTAGTTGGCCCAAGTGGCACCGGAAAGTCTACTCTCTTACGAGTTGTTTCTGGGAGGGTAAGAAACAGAGACTTTGATCCGAAGAGTATTTCACTTAATGGTCATGAGATAACTAGTCAAGCTCAGCTGAGGAAGATATGTGGATTTGTTGCTCAAGATGACACTTTACTTCCTCTACTCACTGTTAAGGAAACACTGATGTTTAGTGCAAAGTTTAGGCTCAAAGAAATGAGCGACAGAGAGAGAGTAGACCGAGTCGAGGGCTTGATGCAAGAACTCGGCCTTTTTCACGTGGCTGATAGTTTTGTAGGAGATGAGGAAAACCGAGGGATTTCAGGTGGAGAAAAAAAGAGGGTATCAATTGGCGTAGACATGATTCACGATCCGCCTATTTTACTCCTCGACGAGCCAACTTCAGGACTAGATAGTACTTCAGCTCTTCAAGTTATCGTGTTGCTTTCCTCCATGGCTCAAGCTAAACAAAGAATCATGGTCTTGTCTATTCACCAGCCAAGCTATAGGATTCTTCAATACATATCCAAATTCTTGATCCTTTCTAATGGCTCTGTAGTCCACAATGGTTCACTTGAATCATTGGAAGAAACTATTACAAGACTGGGATATACAATTCCGGTGCAATTAAATGCCCTGGAGTTTTCCATGGAAGTTATTTCCAGGTTAGAAGAGTCATACTCGAAAATTCTTGTCTCTGGTGAAGAGGATAAAACACGAAAACAGGTTTCCTGTTTGATATGGAAAAAAGAAGTCGATGTAGTTCAGGAATTACTCGTTGACAGACAAACAGCAGGTGATACTTACTATTTGAGATTTTTTGAGATAATGGTGCTTTGTGTTAGATTTTGGAAGATAATCTATAGAACAAAGCAGTTATTCTTGGCGCGAACAATGCAAGCCATTGTAGGAGGGCTCGGGTTAGGGAGCGTTTATATAAAAGTTAGGAACGACAAAGGTGGAGTCGCAGAACGTTTAGGGCTATTCGCGTTTAGTCTTAGCTTTCTTCTATCTTCGACAGTTGAAGCCCTTCCGATTTACCTTCAAGAACGACATGTTCTGATGAAGGAAGCATCGCGGGGAACTTACAACACTTCCTCGTACCTAATTGCCAATACCATAATCTTCTTTCCCTTTCTATTCGTAGTGGCCATTCTTTTTTCTGTCCCATTATATTGGATAGTAGGACTTAATCCCTCGATTTCTGCTTTCATATTTTTCATGTTTGTGGTTTGGCTTATTGTACCGATGGCAAGTTCTTTGGTGCTGTTCTTGAGTGTTGTTTCTCCAGATTTCATCTCGGGGAATTCTCTGATTTGCACCGTTCTTGGCGCGTTCTTTCTTTTTTCTGGCTACTTCATTCCGAAAGAGTTCATTCCAAAATACTGGCTTTTCATGTACTATGTATCGCTTTATAGGTATCCGTTGGATTCCCTGCTTACGAATGAGTATTGGAACGAGAGACACGAATGTCTCTCTAGAATTGGTGGTCAGTCGGAATGCATGCTCACGGGAAGGGACGTGTTGAAGAGTCGAGGACTTGACAAGGACATGAGATGGGTCAATGTTGGAATAATGTTGGCCTTTTGCGTGTTTTATCGCGTTCTTTCTTGGATAATTCTTGCAAGGAGGGTGTCAAAAACAACCGTATGAGATTGTAATATTTGTGAAAATGGTTCTTTCGAATGTAATGCTGCTTCACATTATAGTGTGACGTGAAAACTCTTGTATACAAATTGTTTAAGAATCTCTCTTTATTAAAACAAGAAGACCCCCTGCTTTATATTGAACTCATTTGAATGGTTTTTGATTTATGAATCTGCCAGGCTTATGTTTCAATTTTGAAAAGATTGCAGCTCCAATCTATTGTTCAATCAGCAAATTGGTTTTGAATGAAACACTTGAAGTCTACTTTGCTGTATAGTTGCACAATCAGTACACAACTACAAAATTGTTCTGATATCATTAACTTGTTACGTAATTCTCATAAAAACATGTCTCACTTGTACTCAATACAAGTTAGAAAACAAAAACTAGTTTCACGAAAGATGGACATAGAAGGGCCACATGATAATCAAATAAGATTTAAACGATTTTGCATAGTCAATAAATGATTTTGTAACTATAATAAAATATTGAGAACTATCTTGCTACTTAGATAATAAATTAAAGACTCTCATTGTAATTATTCGTGTAATTTAAGCTAGTAGTTATCATCACATCTCCATAATTCGAAATCAACTTCATGATGCTGAAATAAATATTATATACCATGAAATCTCGTTCGACGAATTATAACATTGTGTACACAATAAAATTTATCGATCCCAAATCGGGCCCGTGTACAAAATTAATGATCTCTCTAAATGTAAATGATAATATTTTTATTTAAAATTCTTTAGGGTCCAGCAAAAATATAAAATAAATATTAG